GTCCTGCAGTTGGTGTTTTCATTAAGAGTTGTGCCTCTACGGAATTGTCGTTAGAAGGTGCTGGTGTTTCCGCTGCTTTCAGTCGAATTTCTCTTGGCAGTCTGCCACCGAATTTAGTTCCATTCGTTAGTAGTTTTTGTGTCGCTAGTTCTGATTGCAACACAAGTTTTAACAGCCTGGAACCGCACCCCTTATAGTTTGGGGATCCTTGTCAACGAGATGGCCACGTCATTCTCAAGAGAAAGCGCTTCCCGGAGGTTGTTCCATTGCTAGCGATCGTGCATCTGGGCATCGTCGGAAGAGGAATCAGTAAGCTCAGGAACACCGTGAGCAATCACTGTTTTCTTATTGATTTTTTACGTGCCTCTCTTTGTTAGCTGGATCCACTGAGCGTTCTTTCTACGGGATTTCAGGTAGTATGCGCACTCCACTTGGGTCGTTTCGGAGACGATTCGCAGACAGCAGAGCGGCCTCAGTCTCGTCCACCGAGTTTAGTGTTACCCGAAGCAACCGGGGTTCGCCGTAGTGCGACGCGTTTGGGTGACGCGGGTTTCTTTCTAATGTCTTGGGATTAGCATGGACTTCGATCGACGTACAGATGGAACCCCACTGATTTCGGTCGTCTGTCAACCTACCCTTAATTGCATTGGATTTGGATTCAGGAACATTTGTACACACATGGTTAAGTGCACTATGGTTGTGCCTGGTGGCTACTGGTTTTGGATTTGGAGGCTTAGTATCCGTTGTTTTTGTTGAATTTGTGAACGGCACTGATGGGTGCCATCCGTGCTGCGACATTTTTGTTTTCTCTAGTCCGGGCACAAAGGTCACGGGTGCTCTTTCCGATGTTCGCTTGGCGGCAACCGATGCGTACGTTGCCGGGTTGTTCACTATTGCTGGTTGACTGTAGCTTACGGTCCCGTGTGTAGCGAGCAGACTACTAGATGCAGCACACAGTACAGAACATAAGGCAAACGCTTTGCAAGCAATGCTTTTACTTATAAAAGGGGAGAGAATTAGTTACTACTGCTAGAGGCTGAGTTATTGGGGTTACGTTTGGACGCCTGACTAGGGAATTTGGGATGTTATTTTCACTCACAAATGCAAGCCAGTTTCCTTTCATGGTTGTAACTCTGGCGCTCACCAGTTGCTCGACCGCTTCTGTTAGTCTTTCCCACCTCTTCAGTAGCACAGCTGGACAGCTAACAGATGGGTTAGTATTGCATGTTTGGCAGCACCAAACCGCCTGCCGTATTAGTGTAATCTTGTGTTGGCCCCGTCCCAAGACAGGTAGTTTGCTAGGATTTCAAACACATGCTGCACACCAGATTAGGTTTTACCACTTAAGCACAAGATTTGCATTTGCTCTTCCCACGAGACATGTTCACAGTGAGCGTGCTGTTTTAGGGGACAGCAAGAGGACAGAGATACTGACGCACCGTGTTTGACTTTGCTTCACTTTTCGTTGCGTGGTTATCAGCGCTGGTTTGAGGTCAGCCGGGTCAGGCGTATCGCGGCCAGAGGAGTCACACGTTCCTTAGGGTAAATAGGCGACGTGCGTGCTATCGATCCAGCCGGTAAATGGATAGGCAGCGATGCAACGTAGAATTGAGACAAAGCAAGGTTACTTGGAAAATAATGTCTAATGACGACAGTGGCTGTTCCAAGCGCGGACCAAATTGACGACTATCACTTTGTACAGCGACTTGAAGGAATGGTAGTAAGCTGCTCGGGTGACTCACAAAAAGTTCTTTAAAATAAACCCACAAGAGTTCTTGTGCGAGGAGAGTAAAAATAAGTCCTTCAATAAGATTCTAATAAGGTTGACTTCGAAATTGTAAGAGCGCGGTTTGCTGGTGATCTGCGAATGATAGATCTAATAAATGAACTGTAATAGGAGGGGCTCTTGGAGCCAAATCGGATGATAGCACGTAGATCTCTATGAGAATAAATCTAAAGATTTAAAGACGAATAACGCAGGGGGACACTTTTTTTGCTCTCGCCCAGGAGTGAGTTACACGATGTAGTCGCTGATCACTGTACACGGTTGGATTTGCTTTTCTCTATGGGGTGCGATGTTTGACGTTGGTCAAAAAGGGAATAAGGTCATCAGCAGTAAGTCGGCACACTGTACCAACGCTTCGCTGCTACTCGAGCACCACTCGTCACGTGTGAGCTGAGTATATCGCGAAGACGCCCGCACCCACACGGATTCGAACCGGTGACTTAAGGGTTGTAAGGGGGGCTTACAATCCTTTCGCCCACCTTTCCGACATCATTAGGCTTATTCGCTTTGGAGGCCTGATAGAAGTTCTAGGTTAGGTGCTCTCAACCAAGTGTTTATCAGTGTCCTTTAACTTGGTACAGCAGTTTACCAACCTAAACGACGTACGGAACACACTCGATCTGTCTTTTAATGATGTTGTTTACCCGTTTTTGATGGCTACGTTGATATTATTTGACTAGCACTTAATATGCTGCTTGCATCGTTATTTTACTTGAGTTACAATTGACCGCTGGCCCACAACTGTTCGGATAACGTCATGTGTCAGGTGTAATGGCCTGCTAATCAGAGCTTCGGCGGAGGAACATTTGTTCGGGCTTTGCTGATTTACAACGATACAACCGTTTAATAGGAATGTATCAAGTACTTCCGTAGTTGCTCCCTCCTCCTGGATTTCGGTAGCGTAAACTTAAAGGTATCGATAAACCTCTCTACCTGTCCATTTGCTTGTGGATGGAAACACGGTGTTCTGATTGGTGTGACCTTGTGTCTTCTTGTGAAATCAGCGAACAACTGCTAAGTGAACTGCGTGCGGTTATCAGACACAATAATCTCCGGAAAGCCAAAATTGAAAGACAGAGGTCGTTAGTTGGCTGTCGTTGCAGCTGTAGTCGTTATGTTCACGATGAGAATTTCCGAACATTCGCCGAAGCTGTTCACAGGGGTTAGCGGTAATCGTTTATGTACACATAATGTGAATCTGCACCCATAATCTCTCTGCTTTCGACCGGGTTTTCGCTGGGTGTCTGCTGGACATTTTTGTGTGAAAGTGTATCTGTCTGCACCCGGGTGTCCCGCATGAAATTGTGTTAAACTTCTTCGGCGAATTTCGACGTAATGACGGCATACAGTCAGCGAAAAGATGCAGCTATCTACGAAACCGAATGTGTTCTGATGCCGGAAAATTGTCAGAGGTTTTCATTTGCTCAATGTAATGACTAAAAGGAAGAGTGGTGGTCTCCAGTTCTCATGTCTTGCGTGCCATCTCACAAATCTCCGGTAGGTGGTGGTATACTGTGTCCAAAACAGTGTCGTCGACTTTAACATTCTACGGCGATGTTTACGATAAACACTTTTTCTGTTACTCATATCTGTGAGCATTTCACTGGCATTATGATACGTCTACTTATTTCACGAAACTTGTGGAGACGTACTTGATGTTGAAGTTGTGGTTCAGTCGTATTGTGGTCGAGCACCGTAATCCACTCGATGTGCCTTTTTCGGAGCCTTAAACAACTAACAGCAACTTGTGGTTGTTGACGAGGGTTTTATGTATCTCTTTGAATATTTTATAAAACTTTACGGTAAGGGCTTCTTTCTCGACTTGTGATTGCGCCGCACTTGGGCCAGTGGTCAAGCTTCATGGCCTGTCGTCTTCTCCATTCTAAATGAAAATTCCCACTTCACGATTTAATACATCAGTTGATAGTATGGTCTGTAATTTTGGATCATAATGCGTGAGCAAAGTTCAGAATACCAGGGGTCTTTTCATAGTCCCAAAAACACTTTGACATTCGCATGACCATCTGCATGCAAACCTTGTGTAAGCAGCTGGTTAAAGAGGTTACCTTACTGGTGCACACTTGGCAGGAGCGGTCTATATTAGCTGATCGATGCGAGGAACGACTAAGTTCAGCAACTTTCGAAAGTGGAGCACTTTTACGGTTGGCTCTGAGTTCACCTGATCGGGATGGGGGTCATCTTTATCGTTCTTCAATGAATTTACTAAGAATTTAAACATTTCCCTCTTTAGTTAATACCGTAGTCAAGTATGCTCCCCAAGGCTGCGTCTACATAAACGAACAGTTCTTCTCTCGTTTGTCCTTTGGTTATGATGTCATCGAGATAGACAGGCGCTTCTTCCAATTCGGTAGTATGTTGAAATATAGCTGCGGCCGTCTTTACAGCAAAAGCTGATTAAATGTATTTAGTCCGACCACAGTGGATGTTGATGGTGAGCAGACACCTGGATTCTTCTGCAACGTCATGTTTAGCAGAATACTTGACACCATACATTTTCGAATAAATGTATTACGCTACTGGCAGTGGATAATGATAGCCGTCGAGGGCATCATTCAATCCTGTTGAATAGTCGCCACAGTCGGACAGCCTTATTTCAATATTTTACGACCCTCGTTATTTCATCCTATGGATAACCGCGATCATGTCTGAGGAAACATATGGCAACCCAAAAGCAGTGCTGTGATCACACACGTGAATGTTACCTACTACAACTGGAAGATACGGCGTAATCCACGGTTCCAATGCTGATTAGAATAATATGCATTTCTAAGCATAATGCAATTAAAGTTGCCAATAGAAATGACCGGATGGACTTGAGGGGCGAACGACGCGACCATTCAGTCGTGCTCCTAGAAGATTCAGGAGCTTAATGAACCAGAGATTACCTACCGTGTACGAAGCTGCACAACTGTAGTTTTATAATGGGTGCTGGTAACATTTTACTGAAATTTCCTTCGCTTTATATGAGATGAATGCTGGGCATCATATTGAGTTTTAGCGATTTATGTAGCACATTATATAGAATCAGAAGACACCACGTACACGACTTCTCACACTTTTTTCACGTTACGAGACAATTTCAACATTAACAGTTAATATTTTATTGTTTGTAGCTCAGATTTTTTACTATTCTGCTTTTGCTTTCCCAATGGGATTCATCTGTACCTGTTCACCGTTCTGTTCCCCAATCCAGAACAACGTCCATACATATGTTAGCAGTGTACCAAACCGTTTTCTTACAAGGAGAGTTTAAAAGCGCATATCATAACTTTTCATTCTGGTGAGTCTAAATCTGGAACTACTGTCTATTTTTGATTTCGACATGGGTTATACTATCTGAATCAACCATATTGTGTGCTAATACTCAGTGTGTGTAAGCAGGATACTGTCAAGTTTTCCAGGCATAGACAGGACGATTATGGTTCGCAACCAAAACCTTTGTTACATAAGTCTGACCACAAGGCAGCGAGGTTTCGGCGCTAGGCTACAGAGTGCGTTTTATTGAATAAGACGCCACCATCACTCCAGTGCCTAACTAAAGTACCAGGATATTGAGTTTGTTTGGCCTCTAGGCACTGACCAATCTGTACAGATATGTCGAATGATGATATCCCTAAGCTGAATAACACACTGGCTTTCTACTGTCGGATGAATGTGATTTAGGTTCCCAGGTAGATTCAAACGCAACCCGAACGGGCACTTCTGTTTGGTTCAACAGCAGTCGTCATTTCTCTAAGATGTTGCACCGATTGCATATGATTCTGAACGCCATTATCGTTCTGGGGAGATTTGTTTGCTCGGATTGTCCAGAATCGACAATACATCATAATGTTGGACAATGCATCGCACACACCGTTGGCATATGGAATTTGTTGCCTACATATATCAAATACACTGTTTTGCATCCTAGTTCTGGTGATTTCCGCGTTAAGAGCCTATATTCTCCACAATGAATTCCCAGTTTTCTTGTCCATTACGAAAGACTTCATACTCCATAGTCCTTTCACACCATTCTAACAGGCCATGCAACATTCTGCGGCTATTTTCTATCTATGTGCTTCATTTTCTATTGCTCATTTTCTATTTCCTGTTCCAGATCACCGCCCCTATATATGCGAATATTGTGAGGAGTCGTTTGTTCGGAAGCCGTATTTACAAGCTCATTTTCGGTCTGTTCGTTCGGGTGAGTATGGAACTACGAGCCGGAGTTTCGGTTGATCACATGCCTTGTAGCGTCTCCGATCCAAAAACTGCTATCATTCTAAACATGGTAACAATACTGATAATAATAATAATAATGATAATAATAATGACGACGTAGGAGTAGTAGGGGGAGTTGAATGATATAAGTATAAATTCATCGCACCTAGACTCACTCAGATAGCCGACACACGCCCGGGAAAGCACTGTACGCGCGTTTCACCCTTTCGGGAATCGTCAGCAGTGCGCATTCCATCGGATGAAACGCGCGTACAGTGCTTTTCCGGGCGTGTGGCGGCTGTCTGAGTGAGTCTAGATGTGATGAATTTCTACCAATAATAATAATAATAATAATAATTCACCACATATTTCCACTACCTTCTTTTGTAGTGGCACGATCAAAGAATTGTATACACTTGCAACAGTCCCATGACGATTCGTTTAAAACTTCTTTGCTAATACATCAATTTTGCGAATCTTTTGCTTTCCCACGAAAGTTGCACAGCGGAATGAGGCGCATAGAAATCAATCTTTGGATGCAGTTGCCACACTTCGCTGCATTCCTAGCAGCCAGGGTGTTTATAGTGAGAATTGGTTGTCCATCGTTTGTTCGAATAAAAAGAGAGCTTGTGTATGCTGCCGTTCTCCGTGAGGACAAGGGGACAATTACTTATCGGCTCAATGTCCTGAGTTACTAGAAGGTATGTTTTTGGATTCCTATGTAAATGAAACACCTCAAACAACTTCTATCCATTCGTCGGTCGCACTCTTTTTCTGATGTCAGCCCTTATTCAATCGCTCAGAGAACATGGAATGCTTGTGGATGTGTTGCTCCGCTATCGCGTATTTTCGCCTAGTTTGCATTTTATTATCGAGCACTTCTCCTCACAGATCAGCGGGCACACACATGCAACCACTGTGATGCCTCATTTTCGTAGACATTTACTCAGCGAAAACTTTTGCAATCAGTTTGTTTGAGTGTCCCCATATTCCTTTCGTTCCATTGTCATAGACAAGCCTTCAGTACAGTTCAATTCAGTTGATCAACCATGATCCGAGCATCAAAGAGCGGTAGATCCAGTTGCCACGACTCACACTGTAAGAATAACTATAAACAACAACGGCAATATAGTGCGTTGGGTGCAGATAGAATGTAGCGATGAATGGAACGAAAATTAAAAAAAATAGTTGCAAGAAACCGAATGCAGGAACGTCACAGGTTGCGTGACTCTGCCCTATGTGACAGGGTTTCCAACCACTGATGTGGGTCATCCAGAGGCAACCATCTAGTAAGGCGACACACACCATCAAGTCTCTCAGTCAATTTCTCCACATCATAGACTGGTCATCTCGCGGTTACACCCAACTTGATGTAGTCACAGCGTGTAATGCACGCCGAGAGAGCCAATAAACGGGCATACGGAGGACTTGGCCTAGTTAACGCAAACACTAGAGAGAAGCAGCAGAAGGCTACTGGCCAAAAACCAACAGGCGGACCTCAGCGTTGCTCCCCCGGTGTTCCAACCAAACGTGAGCAATACATTGCAAGCACCGGTGATCAAACACGTCCTAGGGTTTAATGTCTTCATTGTTAACCGGCAATGTCTCTACTCCATGCAGTAACACTGGTCTTGTCGCAGCTTCATACGCCCTACCTTTCACTGACTAGCTGATATCCCGCCGTCTCCGCAGATGGAAAGCCACTCGGTCCTTGCTAATACGCGATTCAACTTCCTCAATGATGTGACCAGCAGAAGTGACACAACTACCAAGATAAGTGAACCGATCCACCACTTCCAATAGCTGTTTGGAAATAGCAAAAACCGTAGCTGTGTCGGCTCAGTCCTGCAACAGCACTTTGCACTTTCAAGACGCAAAATACATACCGAACCGTGCAGCGCTACGTCCTGTTCTGTGCAAACCCCACTAGTCGTAGGGAACTCGGGAAAAAGTTTCATGTAGACCTTTGCACGGCCTCGGGAATTCCGGTACAGGGACTACGGAATAGTATAGAGTTTAGTTGGCACGCCCTTCATGGATACATAGTGCCACTAGCTTGCGCTGTCAGCGGAGTCTCAGCGGCTCTCAAGCCAAGGAAAGCCACCATAGACGGTCCTCTGTATGTCTGTATCTGCTCCAAAACTTGGCGCGTAGTAATTTTGTAGTCGATGCAACCGCGGCCAGGGCGGAAGCCAGCTTAGCTTTCGGTAAATCGGTTCTCACGGGGACCAATAAGTTGCCAAAGAGTGATACGCGTGAGAAGTTTTAAGGCAATGGAAATAAATCTAATGTCTCGGTGATTTTCGCACAAAGTACGCTGCCCCTTCTCGAAGATGGGCACAACGGTTGATAGTCGCCAGTCTGAATTCACTTATTCAGTGTCCCAAATAGTGTAAAGCCTTCACTAGCTTATCGGACTGGATGACGATTCGCATTCACACCCAGCTGAACATGGCACATCGTGTGCAACTGTATGTTTGCGCACTGATTTCCCTCTATCTCGCCTCAGAAATACTGTTGCTGCGCACGGCGTCTTAAAGTGCGCCAGCAACAGCTTAGCTCTCCTCATTGAAACCGCTGTTATGTGTCAACACAAACGGCACAGATTCCATCTAAGTTTTTTTCAGTGGCCCTGCTGTATTTGCCGTCTCAAGCCACAGCGAATCAACTGAGCTTTCTTCAGAAAACTACCACTGTTTGACAGTTTATGCGCATTGTCAGCGAGCTCTGGCTATCAGTCAGTCTTTATTTGTTTGATCTTGGTGAACGGGGCCGTAGCCTTAAGGATCACAAGTCTACCTTGTAATTCATTAGGCGCGGGTCCGTGTCTGCTTAAGGACCGGGAGACTCGCAGGATTCTTAGCCCATGTTTGACTGCCGGTGATCGCGCGGTAAGGAAGCGTTGGTATTGCATACCGGCCTGCTGCTGCTGCCTTTGCAGTCATGCAATCATGCGAACTGTCGCGTTTAATGTCCACTCTCAGCTCCCGGTTATGTGCGTCCGGAACCTATGTCACTTAGACCGTAGTAATCCGAATTCACTTGGCTGCTCTGCATTCGGAGCATTGGCATGGAAAGCGTTTCATCTATTCCGATTATAAGTCGAAATAACTGGGCTGCATTGTAGTAGAAACATATTACCAGCACTGTTCATCAACAGGAGCGTTCACATTGCATCAATCTGGCGTTCACCGGAATCCATGATAATCTGCACTCAACTTGATCATATTTCTGTCGGCTATTGATGCACATTATTTAGTCTGTTGGTCGTTTTTGGAATTCAAACCTAGATCCCAATCATGCTCTAACGCGCACACGCATGGTTCTCACTCTTCCGGTTTCCTTGGGGCTCCGAAGTTCGTCCCATGGGCTAATGGTCTACCACTGGTAGATAAACGAAACTGGGTACACTTCGAGATAGACTAACAAAGTGGGGTGGGAGTAGAAAGTATCGATAGCCGGACAACATAAAATATTTCTACGATTGTTAAGTGAAATGTGTTTTCCGTCAACACCAGGTATGTTGCTAACTTTATCTACGGCGTTCCTGATATTTGTTAACGGAGTATCGCTGATGTTTTGCGGGTAACGACCTTTTTTCACCTTTACCTCTTTCGGGTACCGCAGGTGAAAACTGCTTTTCGCTTCCGGTACCTTCGCAGTTTCGTTCACATCTAATGGGACCAACATTTGAGCTGTGAGTGTGTTCATTGTCATGTCTACGGCGTCAATAGAGCACGTGATTCCCTTAGCAGTGTTATTTCATGCACCAGGCGGTGATGACTGAGCCATCCAAACACATCGACTTCCGCTGCGTGCACTGTTTGCACGCCAACAATCTGGGTGGGAGAAGTCATAGGTGTCCATCCGAAGGATGGAATTTCGCACTTCCTAGCTGTCCTCGGTCGGTCAACCTACCGCAGATTTGCAATTCGAAAAGTTGTGAACACATTCGGTTGGTGACACTTGTTGCGTAGTTTAATACTCGGCCTCAATGACGTCTGTATTGTTTCTCT